GTGTGTGTGTGTGGTGTGGTGTGTGAGTGTGCGTGTGTGTGTGTATCTATGTGTGTCTCTGTTTGTGTGTGTATATCTCTGTGTGTTTTTCTATGTGTGAGTGTGTGAGTGTGTGTGTGTGTGTGCGTGTGTGCGCGCGTGTGTGCGTGTGCGTGTGCGTGTGCGTGTGTGTGTGTGTGTGTGCGTGTGTGTGTGTGTGTGTGTGTGTGTGTGTGTGTATGAACGCGCGAAGTTGTGCAGCTCGGCGTGAGTGTCTCACTTGGCACCCCTTCCGCTCTGCACCTGATGGCTCCATGCTGGCTTTCCTCGCACGCGTTTGTGCCTCCCAGAAATATGAAGAGGAGCTGCAACAGATTGTGCAGCAGTTAGACGCTTGGAATCAGGAAGATGAGTAAGTACTTGTTGGTGAGAGAGGCACTGTACTCATAGTCAACAGTTTTGGCACATCTGCTGCATATGGGGACGTGCTGTTTGTTGCGTTGACGGGGGATGGTGTGCTTGCTGTGTGTTGGGTCGAGCGTTTGTTCGGTAACACCATGTTGGAATGCAACGCGACAACAGGGAGCTCCGGAAGCAATCGAGCAACTCCAAGGTCAAGGATGCCAAGTCGACCTTCAACGACAAGCCGAAGAAGGTTCGGTTCCTGTGCAAGCGCACGCGTGCACTCTGTAATCGCAGTTTTTGTGTTTGCGTGTGTGTGTGTGTGCGTGTGTACGTGTGTGCGTGTGTACGTGTGTGCGTGTGTGTGTGTGTGCGTGCGTGTGTGTGGGTGTGGGAGGACATGTGGAGTTTACAAAATGGTGAGGCTCATTCACAGTCTGCGATTGCACAACCATTGACACGCTCACCATATTGTGGACGCCATCAACCCTATCGACACTGAACACAGGGAATTGACATGCTGATTGAGTGTGGAGAGATTGAAGAGAAGACCCCAGAGGCAGTGGCGCAATACCTGAACACGGTGAGAAGACGGAGGGGGGGAATGGTGCGCAATGCTGTGTACGTGAGCGTGCATGCGTGCGCGCGCGTGTGTGGTGTATGCGTGTGTGTATGTTGCGTATGCGTTTGTGCAAGTATTGTTTCTCGCACTCCTCGTTTATGTATACCGCGATTCCAATAACGCCACTGTCATGTCCACCACCACCACCACCACCACCACCACCACCAGGCGAGCGGGCTGAACAAGGCGAGCGTCGGCGACTATCTCGGGGAGAATGACGAGTTTAACTTGAAGGTTCTGGAGGCGTTTGCACACCTCTACGACTTTAACGGACAGGACTTTGACGAGGCACTCAGGTAGGGGAAGCAGGAAGTGGAGAGAAGGGGCTGGGGGATGGGGTTGTGTGTGTGTGTGTGTGTTCATGTGTGCGTGCGTACATTTCCATTGCTTTGGGTAGCGAGCATTGGCGAATCATCGTGGAGGTTTGTCGCAAGACGTACACGCACACACACATCACACACACACACACACACACACACACACACACACACACACACA